AGACAAGATGATACACAAATCAAAACTTGATTTTGCAACAGTTTTGGGGTATGTGTTCAACATGCCCAAATGTTCTATTGTGAAACAAGGAACTGATGACACTGGACAACTACCAGCAATCAATGTCTTACAAACTGATCCAAATATCTCGTTTGCTTTATTGGCAGGGGTGATGCTCCACATAAATGTAATTTATGTGCATTAAGTTTATTAGTTCATTTTTTCCGACATGTGTATGCAGAATTTGCATGTTCTTACAGAAATTCAGTATGCTGGATCTTTATTAATTGAGAATTTTTGTCTGAATTGGTAGCCTGTCTATGGTGGAATGACTAGCCGGATTATTCCAATGGATGTTGACAAACATCAAGGTACCCCTAACTAGACATATATTTAGTTTACTTGTGGTGAATTTTCAATTTTAAAATACTGAATGGAATACAACCAACTATCATTAAGAATTTCATCTTTGGACCAAAAACAAGCAAGAGGTGGAATACCGCAAATATAGTTTACCTAATAGAAAAGTAGTTCTTGTAAAACCGTATTCTCACTTTTATCTGGTTTCAAAATGAATAATAGATCCAGATCTGAAAAGATTGGAGATAAGATAAATTACATTATTTGCAATCATTCCCATCATGGAGATGCATATCTTTTGGTTTCTGGTGAATTGTAATGAAATATACAAAGTTGGCATTCTTCTCAAATTGTGATGGTGCCATTGGGTTAGGTGTTTTAGAATTCTCCATGAATTACCATTTATACGAGGCATTCTTCCCATATGATTTGAAATTTGAATCATTTGTATCAACAGAAAAATGTATATTGGTGAAAGAATATTTTTGTTGTTATTATGGTTAATGTATTTTTATAGGCACCCATATAATTTGATTTGCAATCAAAGTCTCTCAATGCTACCATCATTATCCTCATTGGTAGATTGATGATTCTTTATGTTTTATAGGTAGTTCCACTTTGATTTTGGATTGTATTACCTTGTGGTGGGTAAACTGGGAACCACTGTATCCTAATATGTAATTATCTGATGCTAATTAATGAAGATCCTGGTGCAAAACCATACCTAGCCAAGCTAATGCTCATAGTAAATAATAAAGTATCTTGGAATCATGTACTCCGTATATTTACCATATTCATAAGTGTTGCACTAACATGAATTTTTATGCTTATCTTACATTCTTGTTATGGCCAAATTATATTCCAGTTACCAGTGCAAATTATGTTTCTTGCCTTTGAAGTTACAAACCAGGTAGGACCAAGAAATGATGCACGTCCTACAGTTCAAATGCATTTCAAACTTTCAGCTGATAAGAATCTGGGTTCTGACAATCAGGGACTTGATAAGTTGGTTAGTCACTGAAATTCAGTTTTCCACTGGTGATGAAGTATTCCTTTTAATCACACTATGTGAAGCAGTAAACCATTCCAATATGAAAATTTCTGTTACCTAGTTTATATGGATTGTTGTGAATTTCTTGATTTTGAAGTAATTGGTTTCTCAATTGTTTCAGAGGGTTGGAATGAGCTCTGAAAACCCAAAAGTACCATCTACATCATTTGCCTTTCCTGGAACCCCAAATAAAAATGTCACAAGTTCCAGACAATCAGGGCCAACTGATGCTTTGAGGCTCAGTTCATCTAGTAGTTGGATTCCTGTGCTACAGCGTAATGCTTCAGCCAAGTGACTGGTAATGCTTTCAACTGAATTTGCTTGTGTTAAGTGTCCAATCCTCAGGGTAGCAGACTTCTCTGGTTATGTTCTTTATTGGCTCTTTGGGCGTCGTTTCATATGGGTTGAGTCCAACAACCAAATAGCATATGCTACCAAAGGTGGCTACAAAGTCGTCGTTGCTTAAGTTGCTTTGGGATATCAAGCGGCCTAGGGTATTTCTATTAGGGCGACTCCAAATGCAATTGTTTCTAAAATGGTCCTTTAAGGGAAATGATTGATGGTGTGTTGCAAAATAACCTTTTTCTGGTCTAGAAATTTGTCGATATGTTCAACTTGGATGATCCCATAAAATTGGCATGTTCAAATGTATGTTAAAAGATCAGATCATTCTTCTGAGAAAGAGTATAGTGTAATGAAATATGCTTTGTGGATATATTTTTATTTATTCTTTGGCTCGTTCTGACCTGTGGGCAGCAATCTGAAATAATTTTAGCATTAGATACTCAAATCACTCGAGGATTTGAACAGAGGACACTGGTCTAGTTTTTCAGATTCTAGCCTCCTTTCTTTTTATCAACAGCCTTGACCAGACAAACAGTTATCACTGTAAGTTGATCACTGTTACTAGCATAGTCAATGTGCATATTTCATGTGTCAACGTGACATCTATTGGCTTATCTATATTGTGTATTTTTTGCCTCCAGAGCATGATTATGTGATGGTACAGAGCACTACCCATTTGCTGTGAGGATTCCCGATCAAGTTCATGTAGAAATCTGTTTTCAGGATGGAAAAAATGGTGAGCAGGTTTTTCCACCGGTATTTACCAGCATATGATAGACTACTTTGATGAATCGAAAGGTATTATGACAATTTCCTTCAAGCTATATTTTAGTTCTTTTAACATGTTTTATGTCAATATCAAGAAAATAATTAGCAGCTGTTGGATAAACTTATGGATAAATAATAGGGAAAATTTTAGTTCATGTGAACAATTAGTACGAATGAATTAAGAAGGCATCGTTGCTCATCGTGCAAATGGTCGATTTTGACACAAGCGCTAGGCTCTCTAGTGCTCCAAAAACAGCAAGGAACCACCATGCTGCTTTTGACTTGAAATGTCATTCTGATCCTGGAAGGCGTAGAGATTGTTGTACTCTTATTCTGCAAGATATTTGACCAAACATGAAGACTATAATATTGTGTGAATGGAGTCTTTGGATAAGTGACCAGGGTGCCTAGGCTGGGCCACAGCGTTGGTAGAGCCACATAGTTGAGCCTTGGTGCCAACAAGTCTGACTACACTCGGGTTGGGTTTCACCAATTCAATTTTTGCTTGATTCAATTGTCTGACTACACTCGGGTTGGGTTCCACCAATTCAATTTTGGCTTGATTCAATTGTCTGACTACACTCGGGTTGGGTTCCACCAATTCAGTTTTGGCTTGATTCAATTGTCTGACTACACTCGGGTTGCGTTCCACCAATTCAATTTTGGCTTGATTCAATTGTCTGACTACACGGGTTGGGTTCCACCAATTCAATTTTGGCTTGGTTCAATTGGTTTACCAGGGGTCACAAAGTTGAGACTTAGTGCTACCAAGTCTCAACTATGTGAACTTTTGACCTTCCCCTCCACCGATAACCAAGGCAAAGGAAGCAAAGATTTCTCCACACTGGTATTCATTAGGTACTTGACATCTCAATCAAAGATAAAAACATGCTATAAATGATTGATCTATCCTTCCAATTAGATATTTAATAACAGATATATAAAAGAAAACTACTGCTACAACACATTTGTTGTGGAGAAATTGCAATTCTGTCTTATCAACAATATATATAAGATCTGGATAGCACAAGAAATTTGACTTGTGCATCCAAGCAGGGAACATCTGTGTCCTAATATATCGGATGGGTGATTCGCTTACTTACAACCACCATTCCGTTATCCTATGATAGTCTAAATAGGCTGTTAATAGACTTACATCTGATTACAATAGATATGGAACAGTAATCAGTTATCCTACTATAAAAGTTTGTCGAGGTGACGATCCATGATCTCAGAGACACAATCCAGAAATGCAGTTTCACGAGAGCGTGGCAGGATAGCATTCCCCGCCTCACGGATGATCTCCTCAATTTTTGATTCCTTCTCGGTGGTTACCCTGCACATGATGCTTCCGATGTCGTAGGGAGTCAGCCCCCTTTGTACGCCCTTCTTCAAAAGCATGGTTGAGATACGAAGAGTGCGAGAGCTTTCAGGTGACAGTTCCCACCCATAGCTTTTGAGAAGTGCAATATCTTCTTCAGCATCTAGTGATTTGATGTAAGCAATGGTTTCACCACTGAAATGCTGCCGAGCTTGGCGCCAATAGAGCCAATCAAAGGTACAATCTTCAAACTGTGGCACCAGAGGTGCAAAAGCTTATCATCAGTTATTTAAGAAAACGATACATGTCATAAGCATCAACTGACACACCAACTCTGCTAATAAGGCATTGCACTGACATGTGGTCATTTGGAAGCGACACCGGTTAGCTTGTCTGGCATGCAACTAAAACAAGGTAACTCTTGAATATTCAGAATGTGCAGTCATTAAAGATATTATATATATATATATATATATATATATATATATATATATATATATATATATATATTATTCTTTAGGATTATATTGAAATTTATACATAGGGCCCAACAAACATGCCATGCACATAAAGAAAATGTTGTAAGGTCATGGAGCATGAGAAACACATCATGTATACAAGGAAACTGTTTTGGATCAGGTTCTCTGAAAGATCAGGAAATTTAGTTTTGGTTCTGAAAGCCTAGAGGTTCTTAGGAATTACTGGGGGCTATCTTTCTCATATTGAGGAATTTTTTGTAATGAGGTACATACGTATTGTTATCGGAGGAGGTCATGTCAGATAACATTGATCAAGATTAGCAAGAACAAAGTAAAAGAAACATACAGCTATTGAAGAATCCGGATAAAGACAAGGTATCCTCGGATGCACATGAATGAAGTATCTATCATTCTCGAGGAAACAATCTAAATCATGATCATTCATTGAATACAGATGGAAGACCAAAGCAATCGTGTATGACTTGGTATCAATTTAACGTTCTTTAACAAATTAAGCACAACAAATAAAAAGAAAAAAAGGAAAAAAAGAAAGGGCAAAGACTTACCCTGTCAGGTAAGCAGTATGCATGATCAATGGGAGTCAGCTTTATCCGGCCTTTGTTATCCTTGCAGACCAATATATTCCCAGCATGTCGATCAGCATTCGCCAACCGTATATCCAACACGGCTATCTTCTGAACCTCCCCAACCGGGAATGCTTGAGGTCCCATATCCTCGCAGCTTCCACAGTTCTCCACAAACATCTGTAAGGATCCAACCTTAACCGTCTTTCCCGCACCGTTATCCTCCTCGGAACGATGGAAACCACGGTTCAAGCACCCCACCATGACCGTCGGTGGAACACCAGCAAACCCAGCTTCCTCGGATATGCGTCGTCCGCCCGAGGGGTGGTCGAGTACATATGCTGCGACCTCTCTCATTGCTCCCTCTCCAACACGCGTCCCCCTCTTCATTCCCTCACCATTTGTCGACAACCGAAGCCCTCGAGGATTGTTCTCAGCCATGGGTTCCTCGTCGATTGGCTTGAACACACCAATGCACCTGTGACCCAGGGCGTCCTGCATGAAGTAAACTCCCCCACAGCCTTCCGTAGACAGAATCGGTGGGTTCCCCTTCTCCAGCCCTGCAGAGGTCGATCGGACCAGTTCCATGATCGCCGGAGAGTGTTCAACTTTGGGATCGATAGTGTTCTGCTGAATCCAACAATGTCTATGCCGTGGCTTCCCAGCAACCATTTGAAGATCATCGATCCCCTTCTTTTTCTTCCAATCAGAAGCAACCACCACCAGCTCGTTGTCCTTCTCAACCGGTTTGGATCTAACCTTTGCTGATTGGGGTATCACCAAATGGAACACAGCGTCATTGTTCTTGCAGATGTCATCGATAATCTGATCGTCACCGATCTCCTCACCATCACACACCAGCTTATGATCCTCGAGATTGCCCAAGGCCCAACCACCCTCGGCAACCTGCCGTTTAACATACCCAATGTTGCGGCGCGATTCCACTTGGAACTCATACTTCTTGCCGCAGGTGGTCTTTATAGTGATAGATCGGAGATCGGAGAGTCTAGTTTCAAGTTGCAGGACATTCCCATCGCTCAAGCCGTAGTCCCTCACCAGGCTATCATTCCGTGCCAACTCCCTGCCATTAGACTTCAGAGTCTGTTTCCCGGCAACAAAACCCTTGAAGCTCTGGATTCGAAGCTTCACGGAGGCGATCGAATCCGACTCCAACACCCTCATAGGGATCACCGGCGACCCCGGGACGGTGAGGTAGATCAGGATTGCCTCCGGCGAGCAATGCGGGCGTCGGCTGCCTTCGAAACTGACTGGGGAGAGCGCTGAATCCTCCAGGGTGGGGTTAGCTACGAGCGCGGACGACGACATCGTCGTGCCCTAACAGACAAGGAAGGAGCAAAACAACCGCCTGGTTCCTCAGAAGCTACAATTCATCTCCAACTACGGCCATCTTAACAAGAAATTCAAATCTATCCTACGAACCAATCACGGAATCACGGGAAGCTTCGGAGAACCAATTCAGGATTCTCAGAACAACCAAGGATTCCGATGATTCCATCAATGTGATGTTTTCTACACAAAAGGGGAAGAAAGACCGAAGGAGATTGACCCGAACAGGAACCACCCAGTTGCAGTCGAACGGAAAGTGCTTTCGTCGACGCAAACTGGGGGGACTTCGATCGGTCTCCTTCCTTCGATCCGGATGCAAGATGTTACCTTCGGGTTCGCTTCGTTGCGTCGAGTTCTTCTTTTGTCCATTCCCAATGAGCAGCAGCAGCAGCAGCAGACAGGAGGCGAACGGATTGGAGGACGCCGAAAGGAGAGGGGTGGAGAAGACAACAGCGTAATGGTGGGTTTATATTAGGGAGAGCAAGATTTAGCGACGTGTCATGACGGCGCTACGTGGTAATGAGGTGGACGATTGAACGGCAGGGATCGGATCGACGGCGTTACGTGGAAAGGAGCAAAGCCGTCGAATATCGAGTCGGTTAAAAGTCTCTCTCTCTTTGTTCCATATTTGCATTAACAATGTCAAACATATTTGAAATCGTTATTAATGGTAATAATAATTTTGGATCGAGATGTAATAAGCTAAGTTGCGGGGTGATGTTTTGTTCTCTCGAATTACTTCAAGCATTCATTTAATTTTCTATAAACTTGTATAGGAATACACATAAAATTCACTTCTTTTCAGAACCAAAATTGCTTTTAGTCGGTCTTTATAAGTCGTTTGCCGGAAATAATTTCAAACGCAAAGTACTTGTTTTATATTTCTTAGAGCAATGATTAGTAGTTGTTGATAAATATTTAACATAATTCGCCTACCAAAACCACCGATTGCCACTTCCCAATTCCATATCATCCCTCCCTCACCATAGTTCATTGCCACTTATGTCCTATTTCATTAGTTTTGCTTTCTTACCTAAGAACACAATTCCCATAATTTATTTTTATTTATTATTTATTTTTTCTTTAATTTTGTGACCTCGAGCCATGATTATGTGGTTATACTTACCAATGTTCCATCCTCAAATTTTCAAATTTATTTTAAAAATAAAATAATAATATATATTGATTGAGTAAAGAATTATTTATTTTTGGCTGAAAATAAATTCATATTATTAAAGGATGATTGATAAATAGGATAATTAGACATCAAGAATTCATAGTAACTATTGATATTCAATCATGTGTGTTGATGAATAAATGTCTTGATTAGTTATCAACTGGGCTAGTGATGTTTCTTTAGATTACCCACATATTACTTCCTCTTATCGAGGCATAACGTTATGCTTGGTAAGTAACTTGGCTATATCATCTATTTTTAATATATTTAGTATTCGATTAGACTTATTATATTTTATTATGTTTCATTGTCTAATTTGGTATGTTATCGTTGAGAAATACTTGATGGACAAATTCGATTGGGTCATCATTGTAGATGTTTTGCAGTTAGATTTGATCGCATTATCATCATCGAGATATGAATTGTGGATAAATTCAAATATATCATCATCACATAGGATGCTTTATAGCCGGATTCTATCATATCATGAGTATACGATGTTTCATAATTAGGTTCGACTATACCCTTCTTCGAGAATACTTTATGATCTGATTTAGTCGCATCATTATTATATGATGTTTCATCGTCGAGAGATACTTAATGATCGGCTTCCACCGCATAATCATTAAATGATATTTTATCATAAAATTCGATTACATGCTTGTAAATGAATGTTTTATGGTTGAATTCTATTGTATCATTGTCGTACGATACTTCATAATTATATTCGGTCATATCTTTATTAGGGACACTTTATGGGTGAATTTGTTTGTATCATTATTGTATGATACTTCATGGTTGGTTCGACAATATCCTTGTTAAGGGATACTTCAAATTTGACCACGTCATTATTATATAATGATTTATGGTTAGGTTTAACCTTATATGTTGGGAGATACTTTATCTTAGATCCGATCATGTCATTTTTCATATGATGCTTTATAGTCGGACTCGATCATATTCTTATCAAGGAATGCTTTATAGTTAGATTTGATCATTTTGTCATATGATGCTTTAGGTTGAATCATATTTTTATTGGATAATAATTCATGACTAGATTTTACCATGTCATCATTATATGATGCTTAATGGTTAGATTCAATGACTTGCTTATTGGGTAATTCTTCATGATCAAATTCAACTATATTTATTGTATAATGATTTATGGTCGGATTAATAATATTCTTGTTAAGGGAGAGTTCATGGTTGAATTAGATCACATTATCATTGTATAATGATTGATGGTTGGGTTCAACCATATCGTGGGATGCTTTATGTTAGTTGCATCGTTGTCATGTGATATTCCATGGTATCGTATCCTTATAATATGTTGTTTCATTTCTAAAAATATAATTCCCAAAGCCTATTCAAAAAGCATGTCAAAAATATTATTTTTATTTATTATTCTATTAAGTAATTTTTTATTTCTTACTCTTTAAAGTAGGCAACTATCGTGATTTCATTGTTTCTGTGATTATATTCGAATGTTCCCTCAAAATTTTTCAATGTCAAAATTATGACTTATAAATTTATTTTTAAAATTAAAATAAGAGAATCAAAATGATGATTTTCCTTTTCCAAATGATGAATCTATTGAGTAAACAACCACCTATATTTTGACTGAAAAGGAATTCTGATTTGATGATAGAAACTTTTACTTACTAATATTAATGTTTTGATCCACGTGTCATGATGAATAGACATTCTTGTTAGTAAACACTTGCTTCTTATAGGGTGATGTATTATTGGGTTGTTTACACATTTACTTTCTCATGCATCCACTATTATGTGTTAACAGTATGAGTTAGACAAAATATAGCAATATGATCACATTATCTATTGTGAATATACATAGTGTCTAGCTTAGATTTATTATCGTTTGTCATTGAATGATCTTCATGGTCGAATTCAATCATTATTGAGTGACACTTAATGAACAAATTTGATTATGTCATCGTCGTATGATGCTTTTGGCTAGATCCTAATGCATCATCGAGTGACATTTTATGGATAAATTCGATCTTGTCATTATTATATAATACTTCATGGTCAAATTTAGTTGTATCTTTGTCCAAGAATGCTTCATAGTTAAATTCAAGCACAGTATTATTATATAATATTTTACGATCATATTAGATCTTATCCTTATTATATGAAACTTCATGGCAATGCATCGTTATCGTATGATGGTTTATGGCTAGGTTTGGTTACACCTTTATTACAGGGCACCATGGTTCGATTGGTTGTATAATTATCATATGATGCTTCGTAGCTAGATTAGGTTGCATTTATTTTAGGAGATGCTTTATGGTTGAATTTGACTATGTGATTATTATATGATTCTTTATAAGCAAATTTGATTGCATATATATTGGGGGGGTGCTTCATGGTTGGATCATTATATGATGTTTCGTTATTAGGTTCGACCACATCCTTGTTAGGGATACTTTAGGGCTAGATTCAATCATGTTCTTATTGTATGATATTTTATAATTAAGTTCGATAATATTTTTATCAAGAGACTCTTTATTAAATTCAATTACAACATTAGCATATAATGCTTTATGATCGGATTTGATTATAACTTTGTTAGGAAGGTTTCATGGTTAGATTCTATCATGTCATTATTATATAATAGTTCATGGTCTGGTTCGACTATATGTTTATCGATGAATTCTTTATATCATATTCAATTACATCATTGATGTATATTGCATCATGGTTAGATTCATTTACATCCTTGTAGGGGGATGCTTCACATTGTATAATACTTGCTTCATAATCGATTTCCACTACATCCTTATCGAGGGACACTTCATGGCTAAATTTATGTCATTGTCACATGATGTTTCATAGTTTGATTCAATTGCATTCTTATCTAGTGACTCTTCATAACCAAATTTGACTATAATATTAGCATATGATGGCCAGATTCGATAGTATTATTACCAAAGGATACTTCATAGTCATATTCAACCATGTCATCATTGTATAATAATTTATGATTCATTTCAACAATATCCTTATTGGGGGATGCTTTATGTCAAATTTGATATTGTTATTGCCATATGATACTTCATGATCATATTCGATCACATCTTGTTATGATGTTTCATAGTCGAAATCAATCATATCATTATTATATAATATTTCATGGCTAGATTTAATCATATCCTTATTAGGAAATACTTCATCGCTAAATTTAATCACGTCATTATTATATGATGCTATGGTCAAATTCGATTGCATCCTTCTTATGGGACATTTCATGATCAAATTCGGTTGCATCATCATTGCATGATGCTTCATGATCAAATTTAAATTTAGTCGCATCATTATAAAAAAAATACCACATAGCTACATTCTATCGTGTCATTATCGTATGTTACTTTTG